AGATGTGGAAAAACATAGGTTGGTGCTATTCTAGTCAAATGGGAACAAGCAATCTAAATTCTTCAAACTCATGTTGTTTTGAGGTAAGATATGACTTAAAGGTCGGTGGAAAGCAGATGAGGAAATTGTGATTTTGAAGAAGATATAAAAAAGCAGCTTTAATACATCACAGTCACCCAGGTTTACAATGCATTTTTCACCCTAGAGCTGTCTCTCTTCCAGTTTCCTCACTCCTTAGATTCTAAAACATCTTAAAGATCCTGTATGTCCATAAATTTGTCCCATGTTTTTCTTTTGATTCTATAAATTTATACATTCCAAAGACTTTCACTCTCAAACAGTACCATTAATTGGTTACCATATCTCTAAACTTCAAACACAAATAAATGGTTTGCATTCTAACCTAGTTGATAAAGCACGTTTTTGCTTTAGTCTACTAATGGGCAACCTGACCTTAAAAAAACAGACACTAGGTAAGTAATAAATAACTCAAAAAATAAAAAACTTAGATCATTCACCTTGAGAATACTCAAGATCACATAAACATCCCCAAATCCAGACCATTGTGTGTCTCACCCTTTGAGTGTCTGCTTTCTTTCTCTCTGAATGTGTACTTTGATTCCACCTAATAAATCTGCCTTTGCCTCTTACGGTTCAGTATACTCTTTAGGGGACTTCTCAGACCTTGTCCAGTGACAGTTTGATAGTGAAGCCTTTGTAAAATGAGAAAGGCAGTTTAAATCAATGTACGATGAGAATATCTCATGCAATGTGCACTGAATATCTCATGCAATGTGTACTTTCAACCCAAAGCAAAGTCTTAAATTCACGGACAGCAAGAGAAATTCACTTACATGACTTTACTTAAAAAAATAATGTTGCAGTTGTGTCTATTTTATTCTAAGACATGATTTTTGGTAAAATACTGATTACAGAAAAAATGACAATTATTAATAAATATATTGACTACAGGGCTTAAACTCAGAAGTTTCTTAAATATCCTTGATAATATAAAATATGTTAAATCCATAACATGAACAACCAGGGCCAGCATCATGGACTTGTGACCTATGGAGTCCCCCAGGTCCCATGCTCAGAGGTCTTGTGCTAGGGACTTCTGTCTTGAAATTCTCATTAATTTTTGAAAGGAAAGAGTGCTATACTTTCATTTCACCCTGGCTCCTGCAAAATTTTTAGCCAGTTTTGGGAGTGGTTATTTTCAATTGTCTCAAGGGTAAAGGATGTTTTGAAACTACTGGGCAAGTTGCAAAATACGTTGCTGTGTTCATACTATTTATAGTAAAAGGCAACTGAGGTTTCCCTTTATCGAGGGACGAAGAGGGTGTATTATTCTTGTCAATGGATGATGGAAGCTTTCCTAAGTCTTCACTCATGGGAGTGAGTCGCACAGAACTGGAAATAACCATGAGGTTCCCAGTTCCTCATGCTTTAAAAATCTCGTCGAACTAAGTCTGTTAAAATACAGTAAGTGGTTGTTAAAATAGTTCTTCTTTATACATATTGTAATAAACATGTAAATTATGGAGTCACATATCATACATTCCCTTGGGCAGCAAGGTTGGTAGACTTTAAGCTTTCTTATTCTCATAAAAACTCCTGAGATCTCAGATTATGGCCCAGACGAATGGAGCGGACCTCAACCCACGCCAGCTATGATCACATTAACTTTCATTAACTTTCAGGCTAGTGCAGGAGCCTGAGGCTATTTCCCTGTTTTTTTTCCTATTTACGATGCATGAGGGGCCTCCGAGCCTCTCCTGGAAAGCACATAGACAGCAAACACATTGCCAGCTCCATCCCAAGCTGTGTGTGTGTGATAATTCTGCCAACCCCTGCCCCAGTTCACCCTATGAGGAAGCTCCCCATTTCATCCCATTTTACAGATGGGAAGATGGAGTCACACAGAACATGAATCATAGTCAAGGAGGAGCTGAGGTCAATCCCAGCACTGTGGCTCTAGGGTGTCTGTTTTGATCTGTCCCTTATATGGGGAAGAGTGACTTTGGGAAGAGAGACATGGGTCCCATCTGGCTGGAGCAGCAAGGGCAGGAGGGGGCAGAGTCCAGTGGCTCATGCGGCAGATGGCGGAGGGTGTGGTCTCTGCCGTGTCCTCTTAGTCACTCTCATTTTATGTAGGGGAACTGAAAGAGAAGGATTTCTGGAATCTTTGGCCTTTTTAAAAGTGGTGTTAATTCCAGGCCCTGCTAGCACACTCCACAGCAGGAAGGTACGTAGCTGGGCCTGGCAAAGTGGCCCTCCTTTTGGTGACCCTGGCAGCTAATAATCCATTCCTTTTCTGAAAAATTGTTTTGTGGGACTAGGGTGCAGGGTCAAACCCAAGGACACTCTGTGCCCTGAACTACGTTTGGAGAATACTCTCTTTGCTTTATTCTTTATTTTGAGACAGGGTCTTATTAAGTCGCCCAGGAAAGACTCGGACTTACAACCTTGCTTCTCACTGCATATCCTGACAGTGCTTGTTTCTGTCCCTGGCCCTCGGTCCTTCCTTTCTCTCTGACTTCAAGTGAACAGGAGCTGTTTCTGGGGATCCAGCCAGCTTGTAAGCACCAAGCCACACTTGCGGGGCGAGCTCGTAACCACAGGCAGCTGAGGGTCCGTTTCACTTTCCTGGGCACGTCTTCCGCTCTTGTGGAGATGCTGACAAGTGCTCATCCTGACCCGTTGGCAGGATTTCCCCAGCTGCTGTTTGTGTCTCCTCGGGGTTTTCTTGGGGTTCTAAAAACAACACATCCCTGGCTAGGATAAGGGGGGAGGATGCCATACAGGTTCTAAATTCTTTGAAATCTCTAAGCATCTGAAAAAAAATAATCCTGTTGGGTAGGTGTGAGAGGTGATTTAAAATGAAGAAAATTTCTTCCCAAAGCTTAAATTAGAACTTTTCGAGAGAAATTGAATGAAAGTATAAAAATATGTAAATGTTCTTCTTTCTCTAAAACAGAAACAATACCATGTCTCTCCCTCAGGCCTCTATAGTCAGCATCAGCTGGGCAAGAATGGTCCCTCTCCGCCATGCTTCGGACTTCGTAGCAGGGTATCCTGTTTCTCTGATGAATCCTACAAGTCCACATCTGCATTTATTTTCCTTGCTTGCCTTCACTACGGTGGAATTTTTCTCAGGATGTCACACGTTCCTGGGTCTGCGTGATTCTTGCTGAAACATACACAAACTCATAGAAGACTCAAAAGGGTTGCTTCTTCCAGAGCCAGGGGAAGCTGCTCCTGGGTGGCCAGCACTGGACGTGGGGAGACAGGAGATACCTCTAAGTCTTGCTTCTGCTACTTCCTCTCTTTGGGATGGGGTGGGGGCAAGTCTACTTCTCTGAGCTTCACTTTCTTATCTGTAAAATGGGCTGTGACCATTAATCAAGCTGAGGGGTACAACATCCAGGAAACTGCTAAAGTGCCAAAATGCATGGAGTAGGTTGGGGTGTCCCTGACACCCAGGTTTGTCATGCAAGCTCTGGTGTGATGTTCTTCTTTCAGTCTGTGGAGGCAATAGAAGGCTCCGAAGCTGGTAAGCACACATCCAGAAGGTGACCCTGACCAGCCTCCAACGCCATATTCTCCCACCTCATTGCTGACCATGTGACACCAACAAGAGCTCAGCTTTGCTGGTGGTTTTAAAGACCTGTGGGATGGGAACTCCTGTTCTAGGGCACCTGCAGATTGGGCACATATCCAGAACATGTATACGCAGTGTAACATGACTACGTGTCCTCATGAGTGTTCCGGGGTGGGAACAAAATCAAGACCAGGTGTTGCAAGTACATGGCAGTAGTGTGGGCAAGAAAACTGACTCTGTATTTCCATCAGTAACCTTCCCTTAATCTGAGGCAAACACCGAAGAGGCACAACGGTAGCACTTCCCAAAGAGAAAAATGATGCATGTCTTGTTAACTCAGTTATTAAATTTCTAAGTTTCCAATTTCAGGTTTATTTCTGTAAACACATTATTGACTTAAAATTAAACCAAAAAGTCAAAGTTATGTAGAATTTCTTTTTGAATGATGGATTTCCTATATATTTTTTATCCTGGTTTTTTTTAATATTTAAAAATTTTTGATTAATATAGTGCGTGTTGCAAGACATGATTACATTCATTTGGGGGAGTTGGCCAATGTGCATAACACATCTTAATTCTACTTACTTTCTTCCCACCCCTCCTTCCTTCTCCCTGGTCCTGGCCCTCTACCCACCACCTCTGTCATGTCTCCCTGGAGATGCCGTCCCTCAGAGCCCCACTTGCCAAGACAAGAGTGAGTACCAAGTTCTTCTAGCCCTCGTGAGGTGGCATAGAAAAGTAGAGGGAGGTAGAGAGGAGATGAGGGAAATTTTAATATCAAAGTTGTACTTTTAAAGGCAGGCTGCAGTTTCATGACACAGAAGTTGTTCATGCACTTTTTATGTCTTTTAGAAAAAAATTCCTAAGGGTCTTAAAGACACTAAGCTTGTAAACTAAGCTCTGGGCCTGTGCCTTTCACCTTTAAATTATGCTCCCTCCCACCAAGCCCACCCTCAGGACAGCTTCAGACACAACCCACCAACTGGGCAAAGCCACAGGGACACTAAAACACATATCCTAGACAACTCGTCTTAGAGACACTCCTATGTCCTGATAAGAACACCCAGCTCAAGACTCTGAGTTGTCTCTGTCCCTCTGGAAGGTGGGCACACACTATTTCTCTGAGTGTGTACTTTTAAGATTCTGCTTAATAAATCTCTTTGCAAACTCTTACTGATGAATCCTGAAAATTCTTTTTCTATAATGGAAGTCAGAGAACTTGCAATGTGCTCCGTAGGTTGGGTCTCCGGTCTCTAAGTCAGGGACCTCATGCGACCCTGTCTGATGACAGGTGCAGGCCAGGTATGTTCTTGCAGAGCTGGTAAAGAGACATCTCAGGGTCTTGAACTGAGACTCTTAGCAGAGAAGGAGACAGTCGGTGACTGTCTAGACTCACCTCTTCTTTGTGGGGACCAGCCAGTTCCGGAAGAGGAGGAGATGCTTCCCAGTGGTCTTGGGGTCCTGGGTCACAACCACGGGACTGTGGAGGTTGAGCTCAGCTTGCTTAAGGGACAGAGATGCTGCAGACACCTGGCTTCTCCTGGGGAGAGAGGAAGAATCAGCCTCTGAGGGAAGGGTGCTCTGTGGCTCCACTACCAGGAAAGGGCATTTACTTTAAAGCCAGCAAAGGGAGTATTGCTGAGCCCACTTCAGATAACAGTTAATAAACACTTGCCATGTTCGTGCTAAAATTTTCTTTGATAATTTTAACCTAGGTCAATACTTTACAAACTTTTCTACACCATAGCATACACATAAAATGATTGCATTTGTGACACTCTTGAGTCAAACACTTCAGGTAAACAGAGGCAGCACAGGCAATGCCACCCACCCAGCCACACTCAGAGCTGGAAGGATCCATGTCACAGCCTCACAGCCGCTTAGGACGTTCATTTGTGGCACACGTTGGGAAACTCTGAAATACTCATTTAATTAGCAAAATTTTCCTAAAGGTCAAAAGGTAGGGTTTAGCTGGCTGCAAAATCTGAGTAAACAACTTTCAATTAGTGCTTTTCTTTCATGTTGCTTGCTTAACAGCAGTGCAGATCTCACCTGAAGGCTTGAATCACTGGCTTCTCTCGCCCTCTCATCTGGTTCAATCCTGTGATTTGTCCTTTGCCTGGTAGAGGTGGGTTGTGTGCATGCCTGTGTGCATGTGTATGAGAGTGTGTGCATGTGTGGGGGAGAAGTGGGATGCCCACCCCACTTGACCTGATTTTCCCATAACTTTAGCTTTTGTTCACATACCCCAACTCCTTTCGTCTGTAGACAGCAAAACCAACCCTTTTATACATAGAACCTCCAGCATCGTTCAGACATGATACCTGAATAAACCTGTGTTGAGAATTAAGGACACATTTCTGCTATTCACAAAGCAAACACTGGAAATGTCAATACTCTGTAGTTTCCAGCAATTGATTATGTGGCCCAGGTCTTTGCTCTTGTCCACACCCATAACAGGTTCCTGTACTTGAGCACATCTCTGCTCCGTGGCCTTTCCACCCACCAGACACCTCCCACTGTCTCATGCACCTTGGCCACTCGGGAGCTGTCTATAAATGATACAGCCCCAGAAAAACCTGTGTAGTTAGGGGTGGGGGCTTTTCAACTCTCACTGCAGGCTGGTTAACCACTGAGGGAGGGAAGAGTCGAGAGAGAGAGAGAGAGAGAGAGAGAGAGAGAGAGAGAGAGAGAGAGAGAGAGACTCCAGCCAGGGGGCATGGGATTAGGACTCCCTGCTGTGCTTTTAATTGTCTTCTGATTTTCTCTGAACTTGTTTTTGGAAATGTCTGTTTATTTCCACATAGTTGAGGGATATATAACTCACTACCATGGAGAAAATCTTTGTTTGGTGCTCTCAGAGTCGGCCTCCCTGCCTGACCTAGAGGTCACCTTTTCGGATGAAGGAGAAGCAGGCTGAGAGCATGGAGAGAGAAGAAAGTGGGAAGGGGGCTTGGAAAGTGGTACAAGTCAGGTTGTGTCCAAAGGGGTCTTTGTTAAAGTTTCATGTTTTTATTGCACGTTGCCTGTATTACTTCAATTTTTTAGACATTTACCTAGTGCTAAGAAAGAGGGTCTGGTGTTCCTGGCAATTATTTACAAAGCCAGTAAGTCAAAATTCTACTAAATGTCAGCTCATTGTAAACATTTATTTAAATACAGTGGTGGCTGAGGGTGAGGGACAGAGCTCTGAGCTCTACCTGATTCATCCCAACCACCTGCAGATTCAAAGCACATGGACATCTTCAGTTGTGTGGAACCTCTGGTGATATGGGCAAAATATCTGAGTATTTTTAATAGGATGTTATAAACTGAGCTGACAGTCATAGGTCTACATCTGTCAGGTAATTACTCATGTGAGCTTGAAAACATTTGTACATATAGAGAATACACTTAAAGTAAAATGAAATAGGAAAACAAAAAATTTAAGTAAGTGTCTTTTCTGAGTACTGTGCTTTATCAAGGGCTGCTCGCCTACGTATCAGTCTCTGCACAGCTGTGATTTTTTTCTCTTTTCCCCTCTTTTATTATTAACCGCCTCTTTCTCCCCAGCTTCTCCTTCTCCTCACATTTTGAGATCCTAGAAGAGATGTAACTATATTTTTCTGACATGCACAGGAACCTAATCTGAGTGATGTCATAAAAAAAAAAAAAAAACCCAGCAGCCGTGTGCACGCCGTGTTAACCATATTTCACAACAAAAGCACCTCAGCACTCTCGCCCCAGGGGAAAATTTTAGAGCACACTAAAATAGGAAACGAGTGACGTAGCAAATACTGGTGAACGGAAACAACTTTGTCCATTGCCTCTCCACGTGGTGGTGAATTTCTATCCGACAGTGGGGCTGGCTGGTGGCCTCCTTAAACTGGAAGTACCGCCAGCCTTGGTCTCCCAAGACTCCTTCTCCTGAGCTTTATGTAGGACGTGATCTGATGTACTGTCAGCTTCTGGCCTGAATGACGGGGAGAGAAGGGTACATCGTGGTGGTGCTGAGGGGAGCTCAGGGCTCTAGGTGAGCATCACACACATGTGGTATTCCACTGTAGCTGTGGCCTATGGGATCAGATCGTGACAGAGTATGCGTGGTTTTCTGAGTTATTCGTGCACTTGCAAAAAAAAAGGTGCAATTAAACTGATTTCCACAGTGGGGAACCTGAACAGGAGACCAACCCTTCTGGGGCCTGAGGTTTGAGGTCACATGGTCCGGTCTCCCATTTCACAGTGGAGACCCGCTGCATCAAGCACGGGGCTGGCAGTTCCACAAAGCCTCGTGGTTCTAATGCAGATTTCCTAAAATCTGTGTGAATGGCTTCCAGAGAATGTGAACTCTGTTCTTTCCTTTTCTCCACTTGATCTTAGCCAAAAGACTCAGAAGCAATGTTTTCTCTTAGTGCTCTTTTTCAAACTCAGTGCCAACCTATGGTGCAAGTTACCATGTCCTCCAATGGGGCTAAGCTTTGCGGTTGCCTGTTGTGTGTTCCCATACAACCTCTTCATTACTGCAGAGCTTTCAACCTCAGCACACCTTGAATAACAAAAACAAATGCTAACGAGCACTTGCTGTGTTCCATGAAGACCTTGAGGAGGACCATATTCACGGTTCAAGGACTAGATGTAAAAAAGCAGAAAGTACATAACTTTCACCTGAATTATTTCTTTCTTCTTTTATTTTGCTACATTGCTACATTGTATAATTGGCAAATACAAACAAAATATATTTATGAAACCTTTAAAGCAAATGACAGGCACTGATCATTCTCTGTCTTCTAGGGTATCTAGCTTTTAAGGTTTCTTCCTTTGTTCTTTTGTTCTTGGGTTGTATTAAAATGTGGTGCCCTGGTGAAGCTATCATTAATTCTCCAGTATTTTCTTTAGTAATAACTGGTGGCTTTTAGAAGGCTTAGAGTCCAAAGCACTTTCTCCCTCATTATCGCACTTGATTTTCCTTCTCATCTGCCCCCAAATGGGGCAGAAATCTTCACCTCTGCTTACAGGTGGGAAACCTGAAGCTCAGAGAGGCAGCAAGGGAAAAAAGGCATCAGGGCAGCAGACAGAACAAAGGGCAGGACCGGGACATAGATCAGCCTTGCAGTCTCTGACCCTTCTCCTTCACGTGACAGTTACAGGAATGATTTGTTGATCTCTTCACAAACCTTCGCGGAGAGCACCTCCTGCTTGCCTAAGGCTGTGATGGAGCATTCTATATGCAGACCTTTTTTTTGGTATCGGGGATCAAACTCACAACCGCGCGCTTGCAAGGCAGGAGCTTATGCTGCTGAGCTATACGCAGGCACTATTAGCCATGGGGCTGAATCTGGGCTCAAGGGAGAAACTGCTGGCCTGGAGAGCCCAGTGTGTGTGAGTGGGCAGGAAGCAAGTTAAGGTTTCCTGCCCAGGAGCTGGTGCTGGGTTAGCCAGCAGTGGGTGTCAAGTGTTGGTGGGCTCAGCGCTATGACATTTCACTCCTTTCAACTCATTTCTTGGTGAAAGACGGGTAGTTCTGGAGAGGAGAAATGCCAAGCAGGGGAAGCTGACACAAGTGGAGGAAAGCCAGGCTACCTGGGGCTCCGGCTGAGAGCTGGGGAGCTTCTGCTAGTTTTGACACATATTAAATTCTGCAGGCAGTTTTCTGAGACAGGAATCTGTGAATGGTTTTGGGGAGAAAGGGGAAGAGTATGCTGGTTTATTTGTTTCAAATAGATTCTCAAAGGGCTCTGATGTCCCTACCAAGTTTTTAAGGTTTACTATTTTTATAGGAATTTCATGACTATATGTAAAATATTTACTCTATCCAAAGTGAAGTGCCCTTATTACACCCAGGTACTTGTCATGGTAGGTTCAGAAAGTCAGATGGTGTCTTCTGTTTTCAATTAAGAGCACAAGCTGAGCATAGTGGTGCATCTTAGTAGTTCCAGAATCCTGAGAGCTGAGGCAGGAGGATCACAAGTTCAAGCTTAGCCTACATGACTTAGTAACTTAGTGAGACCCTACCTTACAATAAAAAATAAAAAAGGGCTTGAATATTAGCTCAGTGGGAAGTCCCTGAGATCAGTCCTCAGTAACACACACACACACACACACACACGCACACGCACACGCACACGCACACGTACATGCACACACACAGAATACCACAGTGTTTAGTATATCACACTTCTCCACTTGAAATGGCCCCAGTGTGGCAAACTCCTACCGGTCTATTGAAACTCAATTCCTCCTCACTGAGGAGCACTCAGACTCCTGGGGCACACCAACACGCCTTCCTCCTAGCTTGGCCAGCACCCGTTTCATCTGCTCGCCTGTCACTGGGTTGGGAACACTTCAAAACTGGATCCTCCCTTGCATTCACTTTTGCATTTCCAGTGTCTCTGTCTGTGCCAGGTGTACAAGAGGTGTCCATAGGTCTTTGATGGACAGGCTAGGAGGCAGCCTAATAAGTTTAATTGTGAAGTCAAATCTGAGCTAAATCAGGTCAGGATGAAAGGTGTGGTTAGTCTGATACACATAGACCCTAAATGTCACTAAGATGTCACTGGTACT